CTTTCCCTCTCTCCCCACCAGGGGAAGAGAAGGGGGAGGAGCCTCAGCCAATTGAGGGAAGAGAGGCTTTGCTCTGTAGCCCCTTGTGTGATTGAGAGATCCTGGCAAAGCAAGCTGTGACAGAGAAGGAAGCAAGAAAGAGGGAGAAGGAAACAGACAACAGCCAGTTGCTCACGGGCCGCATACAAGCCCTGGGTGAGGCATATCTGGCCCAACGGCCACATGTTTGACAACCCCAGCCCCAAACAATAAATACTGCGAGGGTCATCATTCATCTTCCAAAGCCTTAGGTCACAGAATGGAGGGAAGTGGTAAGATTTTTTGAGTTTAAAAAGAATCCAGGCCTTTGATACTCTAAAAGGAAGCATGCCAAGAGTGATTTGTCTCCTTGACCCTTGAAATCTCCATAGGAGCCAGTGATGCCAATTCCTGTAGAATAGCATGATCGACCGTCTGCTCTAAAATCTCTGGATAATGGCCATTATTCAACTGTGAATTTCCAGAATAGAACAGTCATATATTCTAACAGATATATAAAATACCCAGGCAATTCATTTCAAAAGATGTTTTTTAATTTAGAAATGCAGTTATATACATAGAACAATTGAAATTAAATTAAACTTTATACAAATATTAAAATACTATCTTCACACCCACTGCAATGTACAGGATACCAGAAAATATATATATATATATGTATATATAAAATAAAGCAAAATAAAACTGATTGACATCCTGCACAGCATTATGTATTTTTTAAATCCCACATATATAAGAGTACCATTCTGCAAATAATTCCAAAGTGGTGCAACTCAAACTACAAACAAATAAAGAACACTGAAGGCAACCAGGTTCTCCCCTTGCATTTGTATCTCTAGCTACCAGCAGCCTACCCATTGTGTAATTGTGTGTGCACGTATTTCAATGGGATGTTTGGTCTGCTCTGGACTGCATGAACTTCGAAGCAAAAGGGTGGAAAAAGCAAGCCATGACATTTCCAGCAGAACAAAAGCCACCCCTCTCATTAGCTCACCCAAAGGAAAGAAGTCAACAGCAGGCTCTCAAGATATATATATATATATTAAAAACACAGAGAAATGCCTAATTATTCCACACACATCTCCTTGGAGCAAGCACTGAAACTGTAGTAAAATGACAAAATTGGCCACGTTCAAAATTAAGAACAAAACAAACCCAGACAAGGAGGAACAAAGCATTGAAAGAAGTCCATAGAACAATACATAATATGAATCAAATTGGATTAAAGCAGGATTCACACAAAAATACCCAAGAAGAACTCTAGTATGCAGGGCGCTTTATGGGCATGTATGTGGTGCTACTACAAAAGCAGTAAGAGAATGAAAGCTAATGCATGCTTTGACAAGGCATCATGTTTGCAGTAAACAATGTAAAGCATGTAAAGGGAAGACACTGCATCTCCCACTTGGTACATGCAGTACATAAGTGCTGGGGAGCTGCTGTGGTTCACAGCATCTTGGCAGGTATCCACTGCATACTTACAGATACATCACAGCCCTTTACATTTTATGGCGTCACTACACTCAGCTCCAGGAAAAATGCAAATTAGCCCAGACTCTGCCAGATTTAGTATCTCTGAACAATCTGAGTGCTCTGTGGGTGCATGTCATCTCTGAAAGACAATTAAAACTCTAACAATCCTATAACGTACACTTCAAGCTATCTGCTCCCGGGGTCTGCCAACTCCACCTGACACTGAGCAGCAAGGATCACCAATGAAAACCATTAGCCTTTGCTGTGGACACACTCCCCAACAGGAATTAGATACTGTACAATGACAACATGAATTGTGTACGTGCTATTTCTTTACTGCAATTACTATGAGTGTCTCTGGCTTTGGGAATGCTCTCCCCACATGCCAAAGTAGTTTTAAATACTATTGTGTAACAAAGCAGTCGTACTTCTGACATGTTATGTCACTGGTGTCAAGAAATTGTCACTTATTGTGATATCCAGCATCCATGAAGACTTGCTACAGAAAGCTTACAAAAAACCAAATCAAACTCTAGGTTTTGTGATCTTTACACCCAGCATTTGAGGGATGATTCTCACATGGTATCTATGCACACATTGGACAAGATAAGAGTAATATAGACTTTTAATGGGCTACAAGCAGCTGAGCCATACTATCATCTCTTGGGGTTTATAACATGCATCAACACCTCCTGTCCATAAATGATGTGCAGGAAGTCTCAAGAGAGCACAGTTAAAGATGCTTGGTGGGAAGTGATCCTAGTCAGGAGTGCAGTGGGTGCAGCTTGCATCCAGACATCTAGAATGTTCCAGCTACCCATCGCCCATGGTTTGTTTTTGTGTATTTTTTCATATTTTTGAAGAAATGTATCATCATATTAAAAGAAATGTGCAATTTAAAAAAGAAACAAAGGTCCTCAAAGAGTCTTCTTCCCCTATCCCTTGTCCTAACTTATTTTACATGTTAACTTCAAAGCTGAGAACTGAATACTAAAGGGGGGAACATGAAAATCTTGTCTCTTCTGACTTGCACAGACTCTCAAGTGTCAAGTTTTAGATCTTCGTGCCTCACAGATTCTCTCCTGCAGTGCCCGTTTCATCATCATCAGCTGTTACAGAAGACACTGCTGCAGTACTAGTGTTGTACACAAAATGGATAAATGTGGAGCATTCCGATAACTATTTGCCAAGTGGTAACTTACCATTGTGCTCACGAAAACACTTGGTAAGCAAGGCAATTGCTACCTGACTAAGGAGTGAGGGGAATCTTATTCTTCTGCTTTCGTAGATTTCTCTGGCACAAGAAGAATTATTAGATTCTCACCCTTTGGCAGTGCAATACATACAACCGGTTGACCAAGTGGCTGCTTGCTCACTCTGTTAAGTCACCACATGGAAAATGAACAGTCAATTCACGGAAAGGAAGCATTGAGCTTTGGGGAGGGGGGGTTGGGGCGTGAGGTAGGGTTGTAAAACTACCATGTTTTTTTCTTCTAGATGTGCTGATTAACAGAGGGTCTACTGCTAAATGGCAGTGGACATGCTTTGCATGCAGAAGATACCAGGTGCAATATATGGCATGTCTGGTCTAAAGATGACAGTACTGGGCTAGATGCACCAATGGCCTGACTGAGCATAAAGCCAGCTTCATATGATCGACCACCATTTTAGATTAATTGAAAGGCCAACATAACATGGGAGACATTCAGAGGTATTCTTCTAGCATTTAAGGGTCAAGGTCAGCCTACAGAATCCAAAGACCACCTTTTTCCAAATTGCAGAGACAACAGAGACAGGATGCTTGTAGCACCTGGTTTTCTGTACACAAGGCTGAAAGAGGTTACCTGAATTATTAGGCACATAACAGCCCCGCAACGAATGGTCCATCATATTCAGTAGTTCTCATATGCTTCAAAAAGTCGCCACACAGTTAATGAAATATTCCACTTACTTCTAGCCTAAGCATTAAGAACAGGAAACCTGAGCCTTGTACCCAGAAGCTGATGCCATCTCTGCCTTCTGTAAATTCACTTAAGAACTAGAGAATATAAGACAAACAGAAGAAAGGTTCTCACATTCTTAGCTAGAAGAGGATAAGGTCTATATTTCCATTCCTCAAACATCCAGTTTTATTTTTAAAAAGGCAAATTGCTTAGAAACGCACAAGGTCTCAACTATTTTTTAAAAGATTTATTTCTTTCTTTTTAAATTATATCCCGCTTTTCTCCCTGATTGGGACCCAAAGTGGCTTTCCAAATCCTCCTCCTCTCCTCCACCTTAGGCTGAGAGACTGTGATGGTCCCCTAGTCAGCTTCCATGGCAGAGCGGGTATTCAAATCCAGTCAATCCCAGGCCCTAGTCTGACATGCTCACCACTATGCCATGCCAACCACTCTTCAAGCAGTTCAGCTGATATACCAATTCCAGAATTAGGGCCCAAGTCAAAGTGAATGGCTTCATAGATCTGACTAATGTTTAAGTTGTCCAGGAATTCCCAACGACATGGAACATAGATGGGTTGTGCTAATAACTGCCTAGTGGTAGAAAATCTATATTACAGATTCAGCTTCCCAAATATAATTTCAAGGATGTTAATGTACCACAACAATTTATGAACCATCCCATCTGAATGAGAAATGCAAATGAAGAGTGGTGTGTCAACTGGAATGAAGTTACATTCCATTGCTAGGTATTTGGACACTGCATCCTGTCCTTTAGGACTACCTCAGCCATGCCACAAAGAGCTAGATAGGGTTACAGGTGCCATAAAAGTCAATTCAGGAAGTCTGAGAATTCATAATCCTGAATACCACTAGAATCTGCACTGATTTGTCCACCGAGGCCAGATGAAGAAGAGCACAGCATGTTTGTGTCAGAAGAGAAGATGGTCAGCGAACATGCTCCCTGCATAGGGAAGTGGAATCAGCATGCAATGCAAAAAGGGGAGTGAGGTGGGTCTTTCATCAGACAAGGCAGCAGCATGGCTCTTTCCATTCCAAATTATTAAGGCAGACTATAGCTAATTTATTCAAGGCAATCAGGCACACCAGTTGCAAGCACACAAGATCTTTTTTCTTGTTGACTTGCTTTCTAATAGAATATGGAGACACAAAAACCCAAACTGGAAAAAACCCTCAAAAGCCCTGGCATTGCCTCCACATATATGAGAAGCAACAACAGAAGTAATGGTGTGAAATGACTTTCCCATTATGGTGGGTCGAAGCAAAAGGTGCAGTTATAGCAGTGAATGTAACTCACACAGCAGCATAGTGCACTCACGGGACTCTACACGAGTGGGAAGATGGAAGGCTTTGGATTAGCTAGGGTTCTGCCACAGTATTGCTGATGGGGAGGCTCTTCTAAGAGACGGGCACTCATTCTGTTCTCCACATGAGCTTACTTACACAGGTGCTCCTATATTTTATGCAGGATAAATTGCTCCAAGTTCTGTACATTGAGACAGCCCCAGAGTTTTCATGGATGAACAAAGCACTTTTTTAAAAAAGGAAACTTGCAGAGGTACAGGTATTTTCATTCCAGCAAGGATGCTCTAGTCTCATCTCATTAGGAAATAAAGAAAAAGTAGCAGCCTAAGTTTGTCAGTAAGGGGCTCCCCCCCTTAAGTTGGCCAGTTGTGATTGCCTTTTAACCAAGCCCAGGATGCCTAACATGTTGATGTGCAGCTATATTATATGGTAGGTACACAATTCTGAAAGACCTCCAGAACTAGAGTGTGAGTGTGTGTGTGTGTGTGTGTTTGTGTGTGTGTGTGTGTGAGACTCCCCCTCTGGGCTCCCTTCCCTCTCAGTCCATCCACAGGAGTTCCATCTTGCTTTCTATAAGATAAATGGAAGGACACTATCCGCACCCAACACAGCAAGCAATTTTTGGCCTCTGCTTTTCTGGGCAGAAGTTCAGAAGCTGGTAAGGCCTGTGAGAAGCTGCAACAAGCCGGTGTGAGAAGGAGCAAGGCACAAGTAAATAGCAGCTCTCCAGAGACCACGCAAACATCTGGCTGAGGACAGGGAGAGGCAGCAGGCACTCAAGTCACTGAACCCCGCCCCTTCCTTTGCGGCGGATGGAACTGGGGAGGAGGAAGGCTGGCACCCTGCACACACCCCCACTGGTGCATCGAGGAGGCATCCTGGTGGCATCCTTTGGATCTTCAGCTAAGGAGTGTTTGCTTGGAGGTTTTCGGAGCATAGCACGGGAGAGTGGGGGAAGCTAGCACTGAGTGCTCACCATCCCAAGGAGGCGAGGAGAAATGGAGAGAAAAGGCTAGATAAATGCAGCAGACCTCAGGCTTCTTTCAACAATGGAATATCTGTTAAGGAGGAAGGAAAAAAAATACACGTTAAAAACTATATTGCATGTTTTGTCTTCAAATTTCCAAACACCACATAGCACAGACTCAATGTATATTTGGATCATCTGTAAAGCCAGCCTATCCCATGATTTAACAAGGTCCATACTTTCAAATCATCATCAGCTTTTCTGTAACTCTGTCCATAACAAAGTCTTGAAGGGTCTTCACAGATCGACAAGCAACTAAAGCTTGAGGAACCCAACATACATCACACATAGGGCCTCCGAAGGCATGCCCTGGGGCCTGGAGCCCCCATCATCTTCCCCACCCCCATTTCCTATTTCAACCACAGCACTCCATTATCCGATTTAAGTCAAAGGGGGAAATGCCATTGATTTTCATGGGACTAACCTGCTGAAGGAGGCCCCCCCGCCCCCCGCAGTTTTACAATGGCAGCTGCAGTGCCTCAGATCACCTGAGGTGGCATTTTATGCCCCAAGGAGAAATTACTGCCTCCTGTGAGACATCCGAGCCTTCTACTGTAGCCATCTGGGATGCAGCCTTATAGGTCAATGAAAATTTTCCCTTTGATTTTAATGGAATAAAGAATTAGACATTAAGAGAAAAATATTGAATAAGCAGCATCGAGATTAGCTTGATATCAGCAGAAACCACCCAAAGTGCCCCATGGCACTTAAAAGACTACCATTACTTGGGAGTAAATTGCACTGAACAAACAAAAGTTAGTAAAAACTGGCACTAAATGGGCTTCAATCCTATATGGTCTTACTTGTAAGTAAGCCTACTGAAGACAGTGAAATTTACTAAAACTTATTCGTTCACCTTGGTCCAAAAACTAGTTTCTACCTCTCACTATGAAGCAGTAACCTACTTTCTTCAAGCTGTCAGGTAGCTCAGAGCTTGCAAAAATACGAAATGGGGTCTCCTTCCCCTATAACATTCTCCAATAAGGAATTGTTAAGGAAAAGCACAGCCTGAACTTCCTGGAGGAAGGCAAGAAGTTTAGAAAGGGAGGGACAGACCGGAGTCCTTTGCAGCTATTAAGGAAAAATTAGAAATTCTGCCATTTGTTGACACTACTATCACTTTGCTAAATGTTAACAAGCATGAATATTTTCCACTAGAGATTCTACACACAGGTTACCCCATTCTACAACCTACTTTGGGAGGCTACATTGTTGTTGGAGGAAAGAGAAAAGGACAGTTCTCACAATGGAGGGAAGTAAGTAGTGGGGTCCCACAAGGATCGGTATCGGGGCTGGTACTATTTAATTTATTCATAAATGATCTGGAAATAGGGGTGAGTAGTGTAGTGGCCAAGTTTGCAGATGGCATCAAATTATTCAGGATGGTGAAAATCAAGGCTGACTGTGAAAAGCTCCAAGAGGACCTCCATAAACTGGGTGAGTGGGTGACAATGTGGCAAATGAAGTTCAATGTTGGTAAGTGTAAGGTGATGCACATTGGGGCAAAAAATCCCAAATTCAAGTATAGGCTAATAGGGTCTGAACTTGCTGAGACTGAGAGGGAAAAGGATTGTGAGGTTGTAGTGGATAGCAATCACCACCATCCCAAAGAAAAAGAAATGCAAGAAAGCAAAGTAGGTGTCTGATGAAGCTTTACAAATAGCAGAGGAAAGGAGGAAAGCCAAAGGCAAAGGTGAAAAGTAAAGATTTACCCAACTGAATGCAGATTTCCAGAGAACAGCAAGGAGAGATAAGGAGGCTTTCCTGAATGAACAATGCAAAGTAATAGAGGAAAACAATAGAATGGGAAGGTCTAGAGATCTCTTCAAGTAAGGGGAAGGGGGTGAAAGCATTGCGGGAAGCCACAGGAGGGGGGATGGAGTATGGGTTATAGGGTAAGTAATTGTTTATGTATGCTTGAAAGAAAAGTTTTAATGGATAAATGTGGAATACCTATGACTGGAAAATAATAAAACTTTGTTTACCAACAAGAAATTTGGAGAAATCAAGGGAGCGTTCCATGCAAAGCTAGCCACGATAAAGGACAAAAATGGTAGGGACCTAACAGAAGCAGATTAGAAAAGATGGCAAGAATACACAGAAGAACTATACAAGAAGGACCTCAATGTCCTTGACAAACAAGATGGTGTAATCACTGACCTTGAGCCAGACATCCTGGAATGCGAAGTCAAATGGGCCTTAGAAAGCACAAGGGGGGGGACCCGCGATACTCACGGGAGAGGGGGAACTCCACAACTATGAGGAAGAGGAGGAAGCAGCAGGAGGAGGTAAGTTCCCCCCCTATCCCGCCGGTTCTCCCATCTCCTCCACCCCCGTCCACCCC